GAACTCTCTTCTTCTGTCAGTGAAAGAAAGAGAGAGAGAGAGAGAGAGAGGCTTTGTTGTGTAGAAAGAGTATAGTAGAAGAGAGAAAGGTAAGAGGAGGAAGAAAAGGAGGAGGAGGTCGGGTTGCTGAGGCTCAAATGTGCAGTAAAGACCAGAGAAAGTATAAGTAGAGCAAAGGAAGGTCAATCAATAGTGAGCCTTTGCATCATGTCGTTTGTTTTCGAGTCCCAATTCCCAAGTCTCAAACGAAGAAGAGACGTAAGAACTGCAAGTGATGTATTCTCTTCTTCTCTTTTATGATTGATTCATATCTTCCTCAATTGGCATGCCCATATGGTAATTACACTTGCAGGGATAATTCTTGCCCACAGAGTAAACTGCCGAGCCTAATAATACTCTTCGTATGCAGGCGACAGAGAGAGAGAGAGAGAGAGAGAGAGAGAGATGTTGCCTTGCATGGGATGGAACAGTAAAAGCAAGACCAGAATTAAGGGAATAGAAGCTTCCCACCATCTGCTAATGCCTCTCCCATTCAACACCAACATGTTGATACTTCTCTGCTAATGCTAAGCATCACATCATCTCTCTTTGCCATCACTGCAACCGATCATAGTACTCAATTACTCACAATCATAGTGTGTGATATGATTGATAGCTTCTTCCTTTTCAAACAACAATAATAATAATAATAAAATCAGGAAACCAATTAAATCGCTTTGATGTTAAGCCGAACCACTTATCAGTATTTTTGGTTTAGTATTTTTTTAATTACTGAACTAAAAAAAATATTGTAAATCAATATTTAATTAATTTAAATTTTCATAAATATTAATTATTAAACTTATGCATTAAGTTTCATAAAATATAAATGAATTTTAAAAATATTTCAAAATAAAGGATGATTAATCCTTTTTTCTTTTACCTGACCTTAAATTTAATCTGATAAATGCTTATTTTATTTATTAAAGAATTATAATATAAAAAGCATTTGTGATTTTTTTTGTCATTTATTTATAACATTATAACTCTAGTAAAAGATATTGTAACTAAGTTCCAATTAATTAAAATTTTTACTAATGATAAATATCAACCCTACTATAGGCTTAGTGTTATTTTGAAATCATTAATATGAAATTTTGAATTATCTTGGATGAGAATTATTATAAAAGATTTAATTTTATTAATTTTCTAGAATTTAGGTCTACAATTTTTTTATTAAAAAAATATTGTACTATTTATAATAATTTATTATGAAATAATGATAGAAAATTTGGTGCATTATAAGTGCATCATAGTTCTATTAAAAAACATTATAAACAAAAAAAATTATGACTCTATTAAAAAATATTGTAACGCTGAATCGATTTAAATTCAAATATATTTAAAAAAAAATATTTAGACCTAAATTCAAGACAATTAATAATTTTATTAAATCTTATATCATAATTCTCATCCAAAATGATTCAAAATTTCATATTAATGATTTTATAAAATAAAAACAACCTAACAAATTATTTCATAATAAAGCGATAAGTTTTTCTGATCTTTTAAAAATGATAACAATAAAAGCAACCTAAAACTGAAGATTTTTCTTAGGAAATCTCTCATGTAGTATCTATCTAAAGCAAGAAGGACAGAATCCAGCCTTATCACGAGGAGAAGATCTCTGCATGCAGTGGATCTAAATCTTGCCAATTCAAATTCTGTGTATCTAATATAAGATACAACAGACGAGCGAGGAGTAGAACGAACACGACACAGAGAAGTCCCACAAACATCATCGATTGCCTTCGCCGGCACTCGGCATGATTTATCTCGTCCAACACGAGACACGAGGCAAGTGTTGGTGAAGCAGGTGGCCGGAATGCATGCGTGTCCCTTTCTTTACTCCTCATGTTGTCCCCCAGCTTGCAACCTAACAAGAAAGACACTGTGCCAAGCAAGAAGCTCGAGATTGCTATGTGGGCATGGCAACAGAACCTCGAGTTCTTCTAAATCGCTTAATATGATGATTGTTTGGATGATGAAGACAAGATTTGGGGGCGTGAAACAGCTCCACCATCTCAATCCGACATGAAATCTAGTCAAAGTCAGGGAGCCTCCATTGCTCTCGGTGTCAAGCACGAGAAGGACACGCCGTGCGTTGCCGTACGGTGGCATATCCTAATGGTTTATGGATCCATAATGGATCAGATCGACTTGTGTGGTGATTGCAACGTTGAGTCATGATGAGATTGGGTGAACGCGTGATGAAAAGATTATAAACGTTGGGGTCGTCAGCCAGTACGAATAGATTCGGGTGGCTTCCGACTCAGCACTGTTGGATTTTGCTGCCTTGACCTAATTGTCCCCATGTTTATGATGACATAGATGAAAGGGAAACAGAGAAACTAAAGACAAACACTTGGATACATTTAAGGTAATGAAGAAATTAAAGATGGTGCAAACCATAGTTTTAAACATCAATTGGATACATTCAATAATATCAAACATCAATCGGATACATTCAATAATAGGTTGCGGAAACAAACATGGAAACCATATTTAAAACCTTGATGCTAATCTCATAACAGAAGTCAACTTCATAAGGGAAGAAAAGATATGTTGTAAGTCCACATCTTTCTTATCTAATCCGACATCAATCTCGACAAATATAACAGCCAAAGTCTCAAATGAATTGCAGATAAAAGCCAAGAAAAAGGAGAGGAAAAGATACATCAACATGACAAAGCATGAGATGGAATGCATGGACAAAACATGGGGCAACAGAGAACGATAACATCGACATCACCGAGATGAGTATGTTCCACATACGCAATTATGTACTTAAGTTCCAGTGGATAAAGGCGGCTTGAAGCAGTCTACAATAGCAAGAAAACTATCCACAATTCTACAGTAACATGCATGAATGAATACATTAAGATGTGTATTAGATACATAGGGTGGAGGGCCCTTGCCTCAAAGTACTGTAGTAAGAAATTTCTTGTACCCACTCCAATGGTCCCAGGTAACATAGATAAAATAAGCACTTGTGATGTGTAGAACAGCTTATATAGGAACCTTTTCCGCCCAGTCCAAATAACAATGCAGTGCCTTTGAAGCTACCTAACGATCCCACTATTTGTCCCTTTTGAGAAGCATTGCAACTGACTACCAGGAAAAGGCCGAAACGGTTTGTCTCTAGTCGAGGCATAGGCAAACATTAACCCCAATTAAAATGACAACATTCACAAATGGGGCGTATAAGACCGATGCCGGTGCAAGACACATCATCGTCGAAGATGCCGGTACCTGCAAGTTGCCACAAGCGTTTGAGATGTATATCTACACTCATATAAAAGAGAAAAGGCCTGAGAACCTGCGAATACCTAACATTTACATGTAAGCAAAGGCAATCATCTCCACCACATTCAAATTCCCAAATATACGTGCAAGCAATTGTTGAATAAAAGAACATAGAGAAGCTTCCTGATTCGGTCTCCTTTTTATTGCTGAACTCCCACTTAATAAGTGCACCTGCAGGCAGCAAGTAATTGTGACTTCAGATAGTAAACTGTAACTCCAAATCATTCATTACAGGACAGTCCAATATACAATATCTTACCATGGGGTTCATTGATGCTACAACCAGTAAGGTTTTTAAAATATGCATATCATGATTTTGCAATAAACTGCTACCATAGTAACCTAGCAAAGTTTTAAGAACTAATTACTCCGTCAATAAGAAAAAGGTTGCAGAACATGGACCCTATTTCTTTGATACACATGCCTAAAGTAATCATAGCATAGAATTCTGAGGCCAAATCACAAATATTGGTTTGTAAAGGCCATAATAGATATAGAAAGAACAAACACCTCTGTTAGGTATAATCCACCGGAAAGAGGACAATGAAACACCCTAAATAGATACAAGAATTAATAACTGACAAGCAAAAATAGCACACCAGGGAGCAATATTCTGTACTGTATGTATATTAATCCCAGTAATCCAATACATGAACAATTATATGACAGCTATACCACAAAGATGTAGTGCTCACCAAAAATGGATATTTATTTAACCACTGGGAGTTAACCACAGTGTGCCTTCACCACTGCTTCTCATGTCTAGCATATCACTGTTCAACTTCCATTGAGCACCACATGGAACACGCTTCATCATGTAGAGGGTGACTGACAGCAACATAATTCACTCCCTTGTCTATTGGACGTGGTCCTCATGCATTTGAATAGTTCGTCAAATAGAACTTGATCAAACAATAACCTAATGGATGCCAAAAGAATTGTTATAGTAGTTGGCAATCATCATGCAGATGAACTAGAAATTGCTGAAGTGCATGGATGAACCTGAAATGTTGAATTAAGTTGCAGGTTAACTGTCATTTATATGGACTATACACTTATTTCCTGTCCAGACTTGCTAATGATCATTCTGTTGGTGGCTGTTTCTCTACCACACAAAATGTTCCAGCATACAAACCTGAAATAGTTATCGTGCAACTTGAATTCTTTCATTTGAAGAGCAGCATCCAGGTTCTTCTTGTCCTTTCATTAGCACAAGCCTGGAACTTACGCCCATGCCGCTTGACAATTTAATTGTCAGCTTATGTAATTGTCCTGCAAAAGAGAAAAAAAACCATACACACTTATTGGAATTGGTTACAGATTTTATGGACATGATATGCTCTCAAAAATACAGAAATTCTCATTCATGATCATGACTGATCATGCATTTTCGACAAAAATTCCTAGCAGAAAGATGCATTACCAACACTTAAATAAAATGGATAAGCAGTTATCCTAAGTAATCCATGAAGCATTTACTAATTAGATATCAGATACCTTGAAAGAGGATCCCATATGCATCATAACCAACATGTGTCTAATACAGAGTGCAAGTTTCCATGCATCAAAGAATTTCATTACCTTAAATAGAAGGTTAATGAAGGACGAAAATCAATTAAGCATTCAAAAATTTCAGGCACGATTCCAATAACTTTTGATGCTTAATGGCACTCACTCCGTTGAGAGTTCTCATGGATTAATGTGTTTCCTTCAATCTCAAAAGCCATGTCAAATAGTCCATGCCTGAAACACATTTCAACCAAATGCATCTTTGTTTCCTGATCCGGACTTTTTCCTCTTTTCAGCATCATATTAAAAAATCTATGAGCCTCAAACAAATTACTTTCAGAGAGAAATCAGATCAACTTATAAAAATTACTAGGCCGTGGCACATAACCATTAGAAAGCATCTCCTCAAGCAGCTTGATGGCAAGGTCAGTGGAAGAACTAAGAAACAGAGATTCAGCTAGTGTATCATATGCAGTATTGCTTGGGCAAAAGCCTCTTTTCTGCATCATTTTAACAAGCGACAGAGCCTCATCAACTCTTCCAGCCTTGCAAAAACCCTTAATTAATGTGTCATAGGAGATTTTATCAGGAACATGTGTATCTCCATTCATGTGGTTGAATAACTGAACAGCACGGTCAATCTCACCTACTCTGATGTGGGCATTCATTAAAATTGTAAAGGTCACCTGGTTGGGAATGATGCCAACTTTCTGCATTAGTGTAACCAAATCATAAGCATCTTGAATCATGTTAGCTCGACATAATCCATTGAGCATTCCATTATAAACATGAAGATCTGGCATCATCCCACTGTCCGCTAGATCTTGCATTATATTTAACGCAAGCTCAATCGTTTGTGCAGTTGATCTGCAATAATCCCTGTGTTCTATCTTTTCTAGGCACACAGTTTTCTGTGGCAGCAACCTGAAAAGCATGCATCTTGCGTCTTCCAGTTTCCAAGACAATGGAGGAGGCATTCTATTTCGACGCAAGACATTTCTGCAAAGCCCATTAACTAATGATCCATAGGTAATCAGATCAGGTTCAATCTGGTTTCTCATCATCAAGTCGACTAGATCCAGGGCTAAGGATACGTCCCCTTTCTTGAAGAACTGACTAAATAGCATTGTATAGAGAACTGTATCTGGAAGAAACCCATCCATCAACATCTTATCCAGATAATGGCAGGCTTTTCTAAACATGTTTCTTTTTATTAGTCCGTTTATAAGTGCACTATAGGCATGGGAGCTAGGCTGCAAACCCTGATCTATCATCTCATCAAAAAGGCGACAAGCATCAAAAGGCCTGCCAATTTTAGAGTAACCATTTAGAAGAGTAGTATAGGCAGCTTCATCAGGCATGACCCCTCCTCCTATCATTCTGTCAAACACTAGCTCAGCTGCCCTTGGCCTTCCCATTCTGCACAGACAACTGATTATCGAGTCATAGATAACGACATTAGGCTCAACACCTTGATCAATCATCTGATCAAATGATTCAAAAGCTGAGTCTATGTCCCCAAGTTTTCCATATGCATGTATCACAATGGAATAAGTAGCCTCATTCCCTACCACTCCCCTGCTGTGCATTAGGTTCAGGAGTAGTCGAACGTCGTCCATCTGGTTCTCTTTGCATAGGCATTTTAGTAGAAAATTGAATGTTGAAATTGAAGGTTCACAGCCAGAACTAACCATTTGGTCCATCAAACAATAAGCAACACCAAGTTTTCCTTCTGCACACATGGTGCTTATCATTATATTAAGAACCACATCAATAGGAAGCACATTACACTTCATGATCTCGTCAAGTAGAACTGCTATTTCTTTTAGAGACTTTTCATCTGAACTACAAATGGAAAGTACTGAGGAATATAAATTATCAGCACTACTGTTTGCCTTAGCTATAGCCTGCAGAGTCTTCCAAAGAAATTTAAATCCATAACCTTGCGGAAAATTCTGAATCAGCAAAACAAACATCATAGGATCTGGGATGAGACCACTTTCCAACATCTTATCAAACAACTGCTCAGCTTCTACCAATCTGTTTTCCTTGCAAAGCGCTGTTGTCACAACTCTGAAGCATTGGACATCAGGAACTAAACCATGTCTAAAGGTCATATCAAGCAGCTTCAAAGCACAATCCAGCTTGTGGTTCCTGCAGTACCAACAGATCATCATACTGTGAGTCACCACATTAGGTTGCAATCCGGTCTCAATCATTTCATTGTACAGCTCCAATGCTGAATCAACACAACCAAGTTTCAGGAAGCAATGTATCAGGGAATTGTAGGCATAGGAATCTGGCTTCAAGAAAGTATTTTCCTTCATTGCCTTGAAAATATCCAGAGCCGGTTCCAACCTTCCCTCCTTACAATATCCACAAATTAAGGACTTATACACATGGGCAGCAGGGTGCAAGCCTGTGCCGATCATTGTATCAAACAGGTAACGTGCCTGACCCAAGTAACCCTTTGAACACAAATTAGGGATTAATAGATTATAACACAATAAATAAGGGTAAACGCCGGCGCCTGCCATTAGCAAGAAGAGGTCCACAGCTTCCAAGAACTTTGCTTCCGTAAAGAGCGCGCGCAGCAATGCGTTATACGTCCTCTGCGATGGCAAAGTTCGAAGTTTTATCATCTGGTCCAGATGGAATTTGGCCTCTACCAACTTCCCCATCTTGCAAAGACATTCTATGATGGCATCCAGCACAGAGGGATCATCGGAGAGTGCACCGCTGGTGGCGTGCGCGAAGAGAGCTTCGGCCTTTAGAAACTGTTCGGAGTAAACGAGGGAGCGTATGAGGCGTCCATGGTCAGGGGAGAGGCCGAGGAACGCCACGAGGTCGACCGCCGCGGTGGCGTCGGAGAGGGGCAACCTCGTCACGATGCGGTCGAGGACGGAACACGCGGCGGAGAGCAAGCCGCGGCGGACGAGGCGGAGGAGGAGGGAAAGACAGAGGGACCCGTGGGCAGCGGGGATGTCCTCGTAGGGAGGCGGCGTGTCGGAGTCGGAGATGGGAAGGGAAGAGGAGACGGAGGCGGCGGCCGAATAGGAGAAGCGAGAATATATGAGCTTTCTTCTGACGGAGCAGAGGATGCGAGTCTTCGACGCGAACATCTGGTGGCGGCCGCCGCAGGGAGAGAAAGGGGGCACAAAGGGGGACGAGCATCGCGGGAGAGAGAGAGAGGAGCCGGCAGCGAGCAAGAAGAGTCCGCCGCCACTTCACCTGTTCTACGCGTCCAACCAAATTGGGTTAGGATACTGCCCTCTACGAACTCGCTTCAGATCCACCGTTCATGCTTAAGTATACCGTAAACGGACGGTAGAGATGTTACAATTGAGGGGAGAGGGTTCAAATCGATTCGGACCCAACATGGAATCAGTGGATCTGCATCGAGTCTAAGTTAAGAATCTAAGCCGACTTGGTTCCTCCAACTTGACTCGAGAAAACCCCAACCGGTTATATGCCAAGCCGGGCCGTCCTCCCCATCCCAAACCCAAACCAGGAGTACTTTGGTCGAACACCTTCGCTTCACGGCAAGATGCTGCGCGAGTCCACGGGCAGGTCTCTCCTCCTCCTCCCTCGTCTTCTTCCGCTCCTCACTCGAAGAAACCGAAGGAACCATCATGAAATCCTAAACTTCATGGCTCTTTCTCTCTCAAATCACGTTGGTCGCAAGAAGAAGAAGAAGGGTTCTAGGCCACCTGATCGTGGGTTTATTTCCTATCACCTATCAGCTCAGCTATAGAGGGTTATCTTTTACCAGTGTGAAGGTGATTCTTGTTCTTGCTATGTTCTACACCAGTACATTTACAGAGGATTCATTCATCGAAAGACAATGTGATGCGCATAATATGCGTTTGTCACCTTATACCGATTATAGGCGTATCGATGATCATTACATCATGTAGATTATTGTAATACCTTGGAGAACTTCTCTGAGATGATCAATTACCATATATGGGCAAAGCTTTCAACTTTTCTGAGATAGTCAATGACCATATCTAAGCAAAGCTTTCTCTTAGTGTGTTGGAGGTCATACTTGTTCTCACTATGTTCGACACCAGTACATTTGAAAAGGTCCTTTTGTTAGAATTCATTCATCTGAAGACATTGTGATGCACTAGAAATATGGTTTTGATCTTATATACATTATAGGCATAACGATGATCATTGCATCATGTAGATTCTAGTAGCTTGGAAAACTTTTTTCTGAGATAGTCAATGACCATTTCTGAGCAAAACTTTGTGTGTGTGTGTGTGTGTGCATGCATTTGAACTCATTTAACAAAGAGCATACTATTTATTACTGCTGGATCTCTCATCATCATTGTATAATCCTACAATCATGACTTGGAGAAAGAGTCTTATATGATTCTGACTCATTTTTTGAGACATCATATTATAAATGCTCAAGTTTACTCTATCACAGTTCATCCCAAAACCCATCTCATGAAAGGAAAAATTCATATATGATGTTAATGCATATTAACATCTGAGGTAGAGATACAAAACTAGATGGGAGAAATCTTGGTTGACATCTTGATTATAAAAAATATGTTGAGAGAGTCTTGAAGAGGTGTAGACAACATATGTTGCATGCATATTAATGAACCAATACACCAGATGGAAATGTCATGATTGGTAGATATTGGTGGTTGTCATTGGACCAATAAACTCGTTCAAGAATAGATTGCATTACAAGTCTCTCTGTCAATTGATATTCAAGAAAGATACTCCCAGTTATGGATAATTTTTTTCTTTCTGCAGTCACCACTCTAATATGACTGCAGTAAGCCTCTTTTTCAATTTATCAAGCTGCAGTCACCACTCATACTAACTACATCTGTGGGAGAGTGAGCCTTAACAATATGGTGAAGTTGCTCTTTCTCCGCATAGGTGATGGAGTTCGAACCCCAGAAACAACCTTTAGATTTATGGAGGGAAGACTAAGCTCCTCAAACTCCACCTTGGCGACAGCCTCATGCACTGAGTTGTCCTACATTTATATTATCCTGAGTGTCAAAGAATATTCCACTAATCTGATGATATTTTGAATGAGGAGATTGCTCTCACTATGGGGATCAGCCAATGATTTGTTTGCAAACATTAGCTGCCGGGATTTGGATTAACAAAATGCTGTTTCTCCTTCTCCAGAGAGGCTGAGACACAGCAGGCTTTACTTGGTATTTGCATACAAGTACCTCACATGGTATATTTATATAAGTACTCTATTTTCTATACTTAAGAAAGAACCGTGAAATTGCTAACTTGATGCTCCTTGCTAGGATATTCAAGATTCTCGATGATGTTTATTATCGGGCCAACAAACCCAGCTCGACAAACAAAATTTAAGATCGTCTGGTAAGTAATTGGACACAGTCCAATTTTCAGTTCTTGGTTTCATTTAACTTTATGCCTTTTCATAGAATTGGTGTTTCAGATTTGGTTGTACATAGTGTTGTGTTGTTAAGAGTCGAAGACCATGATCAATTGAACCCATACCAAGGAGCAAGCACTTGAAGGATAGAAAATCCGTAACCTTTTCCATTCGAGTGGAAGCTCCAAATTCCATTTCCTAAATTCTCAGTGTTCCAACTTGTTCCTCGTATTCCATTTAAATGGAGCATTTTCTATGTTGTTCTCAAGAAAATATTGTTGTTGTGCAGATCCCAGAAATATCTAGAAGAAGACACTGAAGACAGCTACCCTAGACTGCTTTTAAGATGAGGCCATAGTGTAGCTGTTGCTAGAATTATCAGCATGGTCCTAAGAATTTGTTGTGCCATGAAGAAAACAGAGCAGTCATACGGGTCCCCAGGGCCATACCAGTGTTGTAAAGTTCATCGTCTCGTGCCCCATCTCACATGTTGATTCATTTGCTGCAGCATTGGAGTTGTTGGGGTGTTCTTGAGGACCCAAAACATGACAGAGCCATTTAGTCTTGACATATCTATTACATTTCTGATGGGGCATACAAAAACTTGGACATAGCTCAACCACAGATGCCAGTGTCTCCCATCTCCTCAACATCTCACGGAAGAGCTTCTGACCTAATTTGTCGGCACAACGAAAGCAGAGCGGGAAGTAATTGCTTTCAACTTAAAGAGAAAAGTTCTCTGTTAACTCTCCCGAATTCATGAACATGATTGTAAAGTTGCTTCTTTGCAGTCTGATGACCGACGAATACCAAACCTCGTATATTAACCTTCCTTGTATCATTATTCATGTATTGATCACTAAAAATATATGCCAGGTTCTAATCCTGTTGAAGAAACTAAAATGCCAGTGTTTGATGCTTATCCACATTTTGGGTATTGTGTATAAAATGCATTAATATTAGTGTCTTGCACTCCCTGATCTCAAACATCCACCCTAACACATGCAGTATATGAAATTATATGAACATATAATCCTTGCTATTGTCTCCATTTGCCGTGCGACTGCTATGTGAGCTGGCCATGACTGTGAGAGCTTAGCAACCAATTCATCATGGATTCTTGGAATGCAATATTCCCTCCCCTACCTGTCAGCGTAGCTGATCAAAACATCACAACCCAATTGTACACAGCTGATGCCCTGACATATGTGGCTACAAAGATTTTGCATTTGATATATTATCATACAAGCATTGGATTTAGTGCATCATAATTTAATTTGACGTACAATTCAACAACAAAATTAGTGAGTTCAACGTCTGTAAATGTTCTGACGGTGTTGACTCTTTCGACGTCGCAGGAGTTGGCTCCGCGTCATCTCCGAGTCAAAGCCCAGACGATGGTGGTAGCGGCGTCACCGCCACGTCGAGCCCCACCGAAAACACAAATCATCGGCGGTTGGCGCGTGGGCCCGGCGGGCCCCCTCCCGTCGTCGTCGTGACTCCGTCCTCGACAAGCCGCCATCGTGGATCCGAGGCGGATTCGCTGCCATTTCCTGTCGCTGAGAGCTGAGAGATGCAAATTGTCGTAGGCAACGCAAAGCACAGATAAGAAAGAAAATGACCTGCACGCAACGTTCCTCTCTCATTCAGAACGGAGAAAAGATGTTGCAGACACAGGCAACGGAAAAGCGCCACCGCTACGGGGATCAATAATCGAAGCAGGGAATGCGCGCGAATGCTTAGACTTCGAGCGTGGTGAATGGCGGAGCGTCCGAATCCAGCAACTCTCGCGAACCATCAACGAAGCCTCACAGGCAAAGAATTCGATGGCATGCGCCGACAGATCAATCGAAGACCACCACGATCATTAAATATTGATGAGAAGAAGTCTTAAGCAGGACTTCCACGTTGGCGCCCTCCATGAAAGTTCTACCGCAGCAGAACAACAAATGCTTTGGACCCAGCTTTTGAGACATTAGCATCATTGACCAATCGAAGCCGCAGAAAAGGTCAGTAACTTTTGGCAATCGGCCCCAGAGAGCACTCTTTCTTTCGGTGGCGGTTTGTATTGTTTGGTAGTTTAATGTCCCTGTCCTCTCCTCCATGGAACAGTGACGAAGAAGACAGAGCAGCTTTTGACCGCGGAGCATCCGACCGCTACCAGTTCGACGGCGAGCCCCGGCGGGATCTATCTTCCCACGTGACCCGTTGGGTCACACGGGTGGGCGAAACGGTCAAAGAAGGGACGCGCGCATAAGAAAGGTACACCCGGCTAGCCCCAAGAAACTTACCCATCAAGTTGATTGGCTCGCCAACCCGAACTAGGTGAGCTTGCGTAGGACCGGTATCGTTGTGGGTTCGTAAATAATTGAAGGGGAGGGCAGCTAAGGCGAAAGCGAGCGCGGGGCCCAGCTCCAGCCCGACGACACGTGGCCACGTCTAGACGCGTACGGCGTGCGTCCACGCGGCCGTCAGCGTGCGCGGGCGGTCGCGAGAGTCGCGGAGGCCTCGCAGCGGACATCGACCGCCAAAACCACCCACTTCGGTACCCAGATCTCAGAACCACCAAAACCATGGCAGGGATCAGCCGTCTTTGCCCACGCAGGACTCACGGATCTCCGCTCGCTTTCTGGGATGGGGCCCATGACCGAGTTAGCGAACATGGCGAACCAACGTGAGCAAGAAAGCTGAACCGTGAATCACGGTTGACAGCGTGGCAACAGGAAGCATTGATGCCAATGTGGGTCTCTTTTCAGCTACGTTCACCGGGAAGAGCGTGATTTTGTTACCAATACGGGAAGAGCGTTAAACATCATAGATTTCTCGCTACTATTTAATGTCATCCTTTCATATATAATTAATTAGGATATCGTAATAAATAATAACATTAATAACAATATTTTTCGCAACCGTAAGTTACCTCGAAGAGCACGCTTCTCTCTCCCTCTTTGTCGCTACGAGGGAACGCTATAAATAAGGCGCCTCGCCCGAACGCTGATCTCTTCTCTTCTTCTTCTCTCCCCGATCTCTGTAATATTCCCTTATCTCCGATTGTTTATTGTTCGTTGCGATTCCCTAGCGATTGATCTTCTCGCCTCCTCCTCGATTCGTTTTTAGGGTGTCGATTTGGCTATAGCTCGTCAGATCTCATCGGCGAAGCGGCTCGATCGCGTTTGACTTGACATCCCTTGCTGTAATCAGGTGAGCTTTTCCTTTTTTTGTTGCATCGATCCAGAAGCAATGTCTTCTCGGCAACTTTGGTTTCTTTCTCGGTTACGGGTTTGTTTGTTCATACGATCGTTCGATTTATGCTGTGGGAGAAAACGAATATAATTGTAGCTTTTCTTTGCTCCTTTTTTTGATTGGACTTGTGATGTTTTGGCTATTTTTTTGTTCATCGTTTTGATTATTTCTTTGATGGAGGTTGTTTTAAAGGCTAATCGCTCCTTTTTTCGGGGTTTAAGTCCGATTTCTTTTGCGTAGTTTGGTTTTCTTGGATTCGTTTTGCTGCAGTTGGTGATGTGTTGGAGACTTCATTGGGCAGCCAAGACCACTGTTTGGGTGATGGCGTGCCTTCTATCGCGTTTCTCCGCCTTGGTTTCCGAGGCAGCAGCCCGTTGTTTCCGAGTTTGCCCTTACCCGGATGATGAGCCCCATCTTCGGTGCATCCTTGTTACGTAATAAATCGATATAATAACTAACAGTAATTGAGAACGATAGATTTAATTGCCACCGGAATCAGCACGGTGAATCTGATTTTGATTGCCAGTTCCCCAACCGCCAAATCTGCTCCTTGTTTTGATCCAATTGACGGTGGACGTTTTTATAAATATTTTCCCTTTGAGATTATCTTTTCTTAAAAGCTGATGGGAATAGACTTTCTCTTAAATGTGACTCTTTGTGTGTATGATCATGGGTGTTTGTGAGGGAGAAAAGTTTAAGACCAAATTATAAAATTATGAAAAATGATGTTTCCATTTCACGTTATCCAACATCATCGTCGTGGTTTTTTTAATGACCTTTTTATATACTTGACTCGTTTTCTAGCTTGTTATTCATCTTGTCAGCATTTGGCGAGGTTCTTAAATATAGCTATATTATGTCTTTGTTTTTGTGATGCGTCCAATCTGGTTGAATGAATTATTTTATAAGCAGATTCTTAGAAGATTACAAGATTAAATTAATTTCATCCGTGACATGGTGCTTAGCCTTAAATACTACTTAAACAGGGTTGGTACCAATTTCTAATTGAGCATCAATTTGCGCATATTCCATAAATTTTCATAATTATAGCTCCTTATATGTTGATTGGGTAGATATTGTGCATGTATAAATCCAGGAAAATGAGCATGTGTCAGACATTTTTAGTACTATTGTAATGCCAGTATTCTATTAGTCCTTTTTACTATCGATTCTTTCCCACAAGAATTTCATTTGGTGATATTTTAAATCAATAATTTGGTGTTTTTTTCCAATTTGTACAGCATAGGTTCTGCTGGTTAAAGTGATAAATAATTGGTTCTTCTTGATGACAACATACAAATTCAAATGATCAAATTGCCTTGTGTAAATGCTTTATAGTTGTTGCAATGATCAGGTATACACTGCGTTTATCTTCATTTTATTCATTCTCCAAAAACTAAATATTTTTTCTGTTTAATCTGACAAATCTTTCTCAGTTTTCAAGTAGCGTCTGCTTGATGGACTGTATGCACAATTCAACTGACAAGAAGACATTGAAGAGGTGGTTTTTCATTGATAAGAGGGTCGGATAAATATACAAAAAAAGGAAAAACAGAGGCTGATTAATTCTGTGAGAGCTGGCTGTCAGATATCATACTATTGAACATAACTTTGTTGGTGGTCTTAAATCCATGGATATGAACCACAGTTCCCCTGTTCTCACTGATCCTGTACCTTTGAGCAAGTCAAGATTGGGCTTGCCATCTAACTTAACACCATATTCCCCGGTAGCAGCACCGTACTCGTCTTCTGGTTTGTATTTACAGATTCCCAGAAGAAAAGCTGGTAAACTCGATGATGTCCGAGCCACTGGTTGGCTGGACGCGATGAAATCTTCATCACCTCCTCGCAAAAAGTTAATGAACAAAGATTTCACCTCTGAATCTCAACCAGACGAAACTGATGCTGCGTACCGCACCTGGATGGTGAGTTTATGCTGCTGTTGTTTATTAAAACTGCTACCCTATGGAATTTTTATAGTGTCCTAAAAAAAACATTTTGAATAACCTCATATTTGTTTGCACTCTTTCTGCAGATGAGCTATCCATCCGCTTTAACTAAGTTTCACCTCATCACAACTTATGCTAAATGCAAGAATATTGTATTGTTTTTGGACTATGATGGAACTCTTTCACCTATTGTCGACAACCCTGACCATGCATTTATGTCTGTTGCGGTGAGTTGATTTCCTACTTGCACAAACTTGTTTACTACACTAACCAAATAATGGTTAGTGTAGTAAACAATATTTAATCTCTCATCTGCTGTTTAGGGTTTTATTTTTCTTCATTGTGAACATTTAATTTGTTTCAGATGCGAAGCACTGTAAAAAAAGTTGCCAAGTACTTCCCAACTGCAATTATTAGTGGGAGGTCCCGTGACAAGGTAATGCTTTTTATTTGGGTGGTAATTATATATAAATGAATACACTTTAACGTGTTATTTAATGATATTAAGAAAACATTTGTTCGTTCTAGGTCTACGAATTTGTGAGGCTATCAGAACTGCATTATGCTGGCAGTCATGGAATGGACATAATGGGCCCAATCAGAGAATCTGAGTCTGTTGATGACCATCCAGGCTGCATCAGAACAACTGATGAGCAGGTTGAACTAACACGACATGCAGTTTGTATTTGTGATCCTGTTAAATATCTTGTTTAACCATGGTTATGGTTCGAACAAATGATGATGTTATATTCATAATTCAGCATCTAAGAAAGAAAATTCTACATTATTGTTGGCTTGCTATCTAGCTGCTGATTCATTCTTGGTAACAGGGTAAAGAGGTCCACCTATTCCAGCCTGCTAGCGAGTTTCTGCCAATGATCAATGAGGTAGGACTGGCTGGCATCTTCAACAACTACTAGTTCCTGTCATCCATATTATTCCTGAAAGATTGTTTTGAATGATAGGTGTACGACTCTCTCGATGAGATCACCAAAGATATTATAGGTGTCAAAGTCGAGAGTAACAAGTTCTGCGTCTCTGTGCATTACCGCAACGTTGACGAGAAGGTAAAAGAAGTGAAAGCTTTATTTTAGTTACCCAACCTAAAAGAAGAATTTGCACCTGATGATTTTTATGTATATTTCAGATGTGGGAAGAAGTTGGAAAGCGTGTTTTTGGCTTTCTAAAGGGTTTCCCACGTTTGCGAGTCACCCATGGGCGGAAGGTGAACACAAACTTTAGGCCAGAAAAAGTTGAGAAGATTTCTGTGAACTCTTCCTAAGATTGATTCTTCTTCTTTCTTCAGGTTTTAGAGGTCCGTCCTGTGATTGACTGGAATAAAGGCAAAGCTGTCGAGTTTCTTCTCGAATCACTCGGGCTTAGCCATCGTGATGATGTACTTGCGATATACGTTGGAGATGATCGTACCGATGAGGATGCATTCAAGGTATACTAGAAGGAAACTTGTTACTCGAAATTACGCTAGTATTGTTATATTTTCTTTCTTATAATTCGAAACTTGGCAGGTCTTGAGGGAGAGTAACCGTGGGTTTGGTATACTGGTATCCACCCTCCCTAAAGAAACTAATGCCTTCTACTCTCTCAGAGACCCGTCTGAGGTGACTTAATATCTGTTCGTTCCCCATTTACTTCCATTGTACGTGTGGTACGTGAATATAACACTCGCTATTCTTCTCTTGCAGGTACTAGAATTTCTCAAGTCCCTCGTGAGATGGAAGAAGTCCCAAGCATTATTACAAACCAAAGATCATATAACTAAATCATAAGCCATCATAAGTCATCTTTTTATTCTGCATTTGTTAATTGTTGTCAAGTTCAATGGCCATGTTCCCCCGTTTCTACTTGTTAATTCAGTATATGTTCTGGTCATCCAATGTTGTATGCAGGAGCAACTTTTGGCAAGTCATTTGTTGGAACTCTTAAGATTTGAGTCTATTAGGAGCTAATGGCTAATTGAAGTACCTACCAACAACAAAACGACAGTTTCTTTGAACACGAGCAAAGAACAATACCAGAGTGACCCTCAATGATTGCATAAAGGAAATTACGTAACGAACAATAAAGGAGAAAATATTATATATCCATATGAAAGTTTACACCAACGAAGCATTCCACATTCCACAAGAAATGATAAGGAGATTACGACGATATGATGGGTGGAAATAATGATGGGAGCTTACGTTTAGAGCTTATAGATGATAAGGAAGCAGGGGAGGACTGCCCTGGGATCAAATACCAGGAGCTCCCCGTTCCCCAGGCTCACCGAATCGGCCTCCCGCTCGGGGTCTGACTCTCCTCTGACTCGGCCCGCGATGACCCGGCACACCAGCATCCCCCTCCGCCCGGCCCCGCCGCCCCCGCTCGCGTGCGCCCCGCCGCTGCCCGCGAAGGTCCGCACCCCCTCCACCTTCCTCCCCGCCGACCACACCGCGCTGCGCGCCACCCCCGCGTCGTAGACCACGCCCCCGGCGCGGCCGCTGTGGAACCGCATCATCTCGTTCCCGTCGGCGGCGCAGCGCGCGTCGTCGGCCTGGGCGCGAACCGACGCCCGGTGCTCCTCGAACCGCGCCACCGTCCGGGCCAGGTTGTGGACCCGGAACAGCATCTCGATCTCGCTCGGGAACGCCGCCGCCGCCGCCGAGCCGTCGACTCCGCCTGCCCCGGAGGAGCACCAGCTCGAGCTGAAGATGATCTCCACGACCCGCCGCGACGAGTGGCCTGCCGGCAGCTCCGTTAGCGTGGGGATGGGCTCCGCGCGGGCAGGCCCCACTAGCTCGGACGCAGACACCGACGGCGGCGACGCGCACGGGCGGGGTGTTCTTGGTTTGTGCTTGGATTTGGGCCTCGTGTTGTGCCGGGGCTTCTTCGGAATCGAGGAGGAGCAGGAAGGGTAGTTAGGGGCCAGCAAGATGACGTCTTTAACGGTGTGAGATGCGCTACTGCAGGAAACGGAGGAGAGCAGCGGCTTCTTAGCAGAAGAAGAAGACGAAGATGACCGCGTCGGGGAGTAGACGACATCTTCCACGGCGTTAGACTTGCAGTGCAGTGACTTCACCCACCCCGTCGCCATTTAACAGCGACGGTGACGGCTATGTCGGCCCAATACAATGTCGACGGTGACGGATGTGACGGCCAAAAACAGAATAGAAGTAACGAAGCAGACCACAAAAGAGAAGGAGAGAGCCGATGAAGAAGAAGGTTAGAGGAGGAGGAGGTGGTGGCGGTGAGTGGTCGGTCCTCTTGGTAATGTAAGCAAGGGCGGTGGGTTTTCGTTTATGGGTTTGCTTTAGGTGGAGCTCAATTTATTTTCCACCACATTTATGGTCGGTTGGGTAAAGTGTAGTTGGGATAAGCATTGGGAACAAGTGGCCGATTACTGTTAATGTTACTTTTTTTGTTTTACTTTCTTTTCTCATATGATTATGTTTTTTATATAATTTTAATATATATATATATATATATATATCTTTTCAAAGAATAAATCATAAAGATAGATTTTTATCAATATATTTAAAATAATCTATAAAAAAATCTTTATCAATTAAACTAGATTCTTTATATATATATATATATATATATATATATATATATATATATATATATATATATATATATATATATATATATATATATAT